CGCAGAGTTTTGTTGTACCAAGTCACACCACCATTCTATACAAGGTGAGCGTGATAAAAATACAGAAATCGCGGGGAAAAGAAAGAAGAAATTAGCTTGTGTGGATGGGATATAAAAATGGAAAACGGAATTAAAAAAGAAAATACGTACATTAAAAAGGATTAAAAAAAGTGGATTATTACAAGGTTAATCCTGAAAAGGGAGAGAGAGGGATGTAAAAACAGGAAAAAAAGCATATAAATAAGTCTAAGTGGAACACGGAAAAGCCCAGCTTTGTAAACAACGAAAAAAGTACGGAGGACAAAAGGGATAAACGGGGGAAAAATTACAACAAATAAAGAAGAGAAAGAATAGGAGAATGGAACACAAAAAGTAAATAAAAAATTGTAAACAAGAAAGAAGAGAGAGAGAGAGAGAGACGAGTAAAATAGCGAAAGGAAGAACAGAGAGATATAAAGAAAAAAAAAAGAAGAAGAGTATAGGAGGAGAGAAAAAAAAGAGCCAATGAGAAAAGAGGAAAATACGATTAACGAGAAGCTTTTTGTAACGAATGTAAATTCATTCGATTCTTCCTGGAAAAAGCCCCTTACCAACTCTTTCAAGTTTTCATGCAACCCACCTGAGCGTTAGCGCGCTCGTTCAACCGGTAACCGTATTAAAAATAAAGGGGACGGAGCGTCCAACGCGGGGTTCAATCGCGATAGACGACGACAAACTTTCAAAATCAAGATAATACGTGCAATTGCGGCGGATGGATTAACGGAAATGAAGCGGAATTCAATTTCCGGAACAGCTTGCGAAATTTCCCTAAAAACGGCGCACGTTCCAGTCTCAGGTTATGTATATCGGGAAACTTCATAAAATATAAAACATCGCTTCGAAAACGAGTTTAAACGGCTCGCGAATAAAACCACCTCTCGAGGAATTTCGTAATCGGAATACGAGAAAAGTAACTTTTTTTATTTTCTCTCGAGAGGAAAAGATATTGATCGTCCAGAAGATTTCTTCGCCGAAAAACATAAATCCAAAAGAAAAAAAAAAAAAAAAGAAAGAAATTGAAAAACCATTTTAAGAACGAAATCTTCTCGTTGGAAACTCGATTCCAAGGACGTACATCCGAGGGAAGGAGACCAGAGAGAGAGAGAGAGAGAGAGAGTATCAAGATCACGTGGCCCATGTAAATGCAGGGTGGCGGTCTCTCTGCGTGTATTATTTTATTATATAGCAGAAGCTATTGGTGCCACGTGACGCCAACCGGGCTCCTCGCTCCAAATCCAATCATTCTTGAGTTATTCGGGAAAAAGGGAGGAGAAGAGAGGGGGGAAGTGGCGGCTGCGACGCGGAACACCGATCCCCCCTCCTCCTCCGCTTATATACGAGAGGAAGACGTTTCTACGTGCCACGCTCAAGTCTCTCTGACAAACTTCCTTTTGATTGGCCCACGGCCATCCGTTACGAGCAGATATCGTACGTGAATCCGATTCCGGATCGCGGCCGCTTTTAACGGATCCCTCCCTCACGATCCGCGCCACTTCGACTCTATCCTTCTCCCACGCCTTCCCCTCCCTCATCGTGCTTTCAAAATGTTAACGTTTTCTCCATTGTCCAAAATGTCTCTTTGAAAGAATCGATTTGGAAACAAATCTCTTCTTCACTTTTCTTCTCATGTTCTCTTTCTCTCTCTCTCTCTCTCTCTCTCTCTCTTTCTCTCTCTCTCTCTCTCTCTCTCTCTCTCTCTCTCTCTCTCTCTCTCTCTCTCTCTCTCCCTCTCTCCTTTTATAAAATTCGCCCGAGTAAATGGTTCCCGTTATCAGGCGTCGGCACAGAGCGAAGGCATCTCGACAACGGCAACGTCGGCCGGCCGAGGCCGATCAAATTTTTCCGCGCGACCTGATCGCCTGTGTTCGTCAAAGTGGCCGTTCGCCGGCTTTTCACAAAGTGTCGTCGCTGCTCGTCGTCGATTATTTTTCCGAAAAAGTAGTTTTTCGCGGTGGAGAGATTCTCTCTCTCTCTCTCTCTCTCTCTCTCTCTCTCTCTCTCTCTCTCTCTCTCTGCACTTTGGAGGGAGGAAGAGTTGGATAGAAGATAGAAAAGAAAAAAAAAGGAAGGAGAGGAGGAGAAGGCACAAGAGAGAGAGAGAAAGAGAGAGATAGAAAGAGAGAGAGAGAGCTCGTTAATGCTTTATCGCGCCGTGCGCCCGACTGGATTTGGCCCACTTAGCCGTTTCTGGAATCCTTCGATCGATCCGCTCGCTCGTGACATCCGGTTCTTGCTTGCATCCATTTCGAGTTTCTGTTCTCGCTACGATGGATACGAGACCTGACAACGCGACCGTTCTTCCGCTTGACAATTTTAACGTCCCTCCCCCTCCCTCCCTCCTCCCCCGACTACCATACTGTCATCGGCCCGTCCCGATATCCACTATCCACTCTCAACGGCGGTTAAGAATAGATATTTTTTTTCTTTTTTTTTTTTTTTCGAACGGCCTCGAAGAATATTTTTCGCCAAATATATATANTTTTTTTTTTTCTTTTTTGAAAATCGGTATCAGCTCGATTCCTTCGCTTCCCCCTCCCCTTCTCCCTTGAAAATTCAATCTATCCTGTCCAAGAATTCCAATTACCCTTGCAGTAGTTCTGGGGAGGAGGGGAGGGAGAGGAGGAAAAAGTGGCCGGTCAGAGAGAGTGTACGTAACGAGAGGAGGGAGAAAAGGGTGACAGGGTGAAAAATCAAACGGGGAGGTTGGAGGGAGAGAGAGAGAGAGAGACGTTCGCGAGTCCCTCGATTGTCGCGGACCGTCTATGCTCCATTCGACCATTCGTAATAACGAACGCGTCAATTTTTCGTCCCTGTCCACCTGTCCAACCCCCCTCTCTTTCTTTCTCCTTTCACTCGTTATCGGCCGGGTTCGTGTGCCAATGGCAAGCCTAGATTCGTCGTCGAATCTTCCCTTCATTTTTTTTTTTTTTTTTTTTTTTTTTAAATTCTTTTCTTCTTGTTTTCTCGTCGATCGAGAAATTTCAATTCGCGGAGGGGACCGCGATCTTTCAATTCTCGAGGACGGATTTTAAGATAGGTCCGGTTTTACCCGGATTAATTAAACGAAGGAAGGAAACGATTATTCGTCCGGTTTTTTTTCTTTTCCTTTTTTTTTTTTTTTTCTTTTCTTTTGGATACGAGACTCTTCTTCTGTTCGAATCTTTCCCTTATTTTTAACGCTTCTCGCCATTTCGGACGAGTTCTTTCGTTTATATTTTTGTTTCAGTTTTAGAGCCAAGAGGTTCATTCCTTTTTTTTCTTTTTTTTTTCCGTTTCCTTTGTGACGCGATTTTTCGTCGAATTTTTATCGAGACGTCGATCGTGCAAAAATGGATTTATAATTGCTCGATTGCGAAAATCGAGGCGCCCCTCCATTTCCCCTCTCCGCCCCCCCCCCAAACTTTTGTCCAAGGCGTGTAATTTCCCTCCTTTCTTCGAACGAATTTTTGCTTTCTT